CAGAAGTGCCAGATTGTCATAGCAAAGTCAGAATTACCTCCTCTCCTAGGTTCACAAAACGGTCATCCATAAAATGTGTTAGAACGAGCCGTTTTATGGGAAGCGTGGCAGAGTCTTAACTTTGATAAAGAATATCTCTTTGGATTTGAGACTTTAGTCTTTGCAACTTCAGGGATCTTATCTATGCACAATCAGCTTGTAACACTCCAAAGAGAAAGGAAAACTTGAAATCGCATCATATGACCCCTTTAAGGGAGTAGTATTAAGCATGTAGTGCAAAATTAATTATTAATGTATGTAAGTATATAAACTAGAAATAAAAATAAAATAAGGGATTAGACATATTTACAGAAGCAAAATGTACATCTAAGTAATATAATACAGTAATATGGTATAATATAATGTAGATGTGCTGGAAACATCAGATCAGGGCAGGGTGAGTGTTTTCTCTTCTATGGTGACAGGCAGACACATATTGAGCAGCAAACACACAGCAGTTCTTCTGTTCTCCTAACAGATACGGCACTTCCTCCTGGTCAGAAAGAGTTTTAATCTCGCACACACACACACACACACACACACACACACACCATGCGCAAAACTCCGCATTTGAACAGTCAATAGCAAATACTTAAACTAATAACAAAACAGTAGCTGATTCAGAAGTGCCAGATTGTCATAGCAAAGTCAGAATTACCTCCTCTCCTAGGTTCACAAAACGGTCGTCCATAAAATGTGTTAGAACGAGCCGTTTTATGGGGAGCGTGGCAGAGTCTTAACTTTGATAAAGAATATCTCTTTGGATTTGAGACTTTAGTCTTTGCAACTTCAGGGATCTTATCTATGCACAATCAGCTTGTAACACTCCAATGAGAAAGGAAAACTTGAAATCGCATCATATGACCCCTTTAATAAAAGAGTCTCAAAAGGCAAAGACAACATCATGCATTTCAGAAAAGCTGCCTTTATGACAAATGCAAGTCTCCAAGTGAAGATGGTGGTATAGACAGTCCAATTTTATGCTTTCATTTGCATGGTTATCGCATTAATAACCTGCTTGTAGGACCATCACTCAATGACTTTATACAAGGTACACTTACTACCATCTTCTTGATAATTACACAATCTTCTAGCCAGACTCACCAAAGTGTTTCGCTTCCCCCGGCCATCACTGGCCACAGACACAGATATGGATCGAGAGAAGTGTTTTCCAGGTGAAGCGCTGCTGGGTCTGCGGCCCACTGTGAGCAGAGAGCCAGACAGGCTGAGGTCCAGAACATCTCCAGCTGCCCCTGTCTGGATGGATGCGGATGGACTGCGAGTTGTATGCATCTTAAACTGATGGACAGAGAAGACGATTCAGACATAAAAACTGACAAATGCACAAGATGCAACCACATGTGATGCTGGATAAAGTCAGGATTCCCACAACTTTTGACCAATGAATTTCCATGATTTTTCCAATTTCTAGATATTACCAAATAAGTATTTAAATAAAAAAATTGTTATATACACTGATTAAATATTTTACAGCTGAGCATAACTAGAAACATTTATATTCACTATACACATTTCCTTCACTTTCCCAGCCCTGGAGATCTCAATGTTCCATTACATTTCCATTATATTTCCAGGTTTTCCATGACCGACTGATCCTATGGATCAGAAGCAGGTGGAACACATTAAATAATAGCAGGTCAGTATTTCATGTCAACAAAAATACTGTAAAAGATGCTGTTGAACGGCACAAATAAAGTCATCCACGGGTGTGCTTCTATGGTAACAGATTCAAAGCATCCACACTTTCCATCATATATCAAACACCTAAATAGTTTACAATATTCTTTATGTATAAAATGATGAAAATAATCTATATATAAAAGAAGATATATAAAAAATCGTGATATAATAGTCTAGGTCTTTCTATCATGATAATCTACAGTTCAAACATACAAAAACAAAGACATTTAACACCAAAGGCCTCCTCCGGTATCGGCACAAACCTGATGAAGGTCAATACGCAATACACTGCCTTTGAGAAATATGCAAAAACATAAACATATATGTTTAACTGAATAGTTACTGTATACTACCACAGGATTGCACTGGTTCAGCTATGGCGAAACTGTCTTTCTTGCAGGCTTCACATGTTAAACACGATGAATACAGCAGGATTAAACTGTCAATCCATTGCTTACCTTCTCTAAATTGTCCACATCAGATGAAGAAACTGTCTTTATTCAAATAAGAGTGTCGTTATTCCCGTTCGGAGCGTAAGACAGTGATTTCTCATCTGTCTCCAACTCCACAGCGCAACATCTTCTCATTGGAAACCAGAAAACATACAGGAACTCCGCCCATTGCGAGTTTTGATTGGTGGAGCGCGGAGCGTTCTAGTGATCTGATTGGCTGTTTGTGTGTGTCTTTTGAAGTGATGGCTGAAAGAGGCGTGAAGATAAGGCAAGGTTGGTAAGCGTGCTGCACCGGCGGCAGATGTGGCGTCAATTTGAGCTAGCTAAATGATTGTGTAAGGGTTTAAAAGGTGACATACTAATTAAAAGAACAATTATAACTATTAAACATGGAAAAAGTTAAGTTATATTACTAAATGTTGTAGTTTATAAAATAATGTTATTTTAATTTTGAAATTATAAGAAAAAATAACTATTAATTTTAGTTTCTGGCACAATTTTACAATGCTACTAAATAATTGGATACGTTTTCAGGTATTTTGTATACAAAACAAATTTGTAACAATGTAAATGCACTGTTGATCAATAATACAACTTTATTTGGCCCTGATTAATAGCGTGGAGCATTACATGCGACAAATGTGTTACAGCAATACAGTATTGTTTAATTAATTCTTGTTCCCTGAATCAAAAATGTATACAAATCTCTAAACAATAAAGTGCTCAACAATATGAAGACATATTCAAAGCCCTAAAGAGTAAACATAGATTATTTTTAATCAACTGGATTAACAATATAAAGACAAAGATTTAGTGTGTTGGAATGAGTCATAAATCTGTCCTATACAACAGACATGACAAAGGCAGCAACATCTGACAAAAAATCTAAAATCTAAATCAAAGCAGTCCAGATCTTTTCACATTTGTATTATTCATTTTGGTTTGGCTTATTCAGAAGTACTTTTCAGTGTTTGAACTCCACTGCAAGCCTCCAGATTTCTGCAGCTTTAGCCAAAGTAATTTCCTCTGGAAGACTGTCTAGACCTGGAAAAGAGGTGATGTTCTTCATCTCCAAATGGGATTCCATGGTGGACCTGATGCTATGTTGTGAAACACACAGAGAGAGAGAGAGAGAGAGAGAGAGAGAGAGAGA